TTTTTTTGGGTTTTTTTTTTTGTTTTTTTTTTTTTTTTTTTTTTTTTTTGCTTTTTCCGCTCCTCCACTCTCTTGCAGCGAGTTAAATATTTCTTCTGTTAATTGACGCCCAAAGTGTTCCCAATCCTTTCCCCGCGTCGCCCGGGCCGACCGAGGACGTGTGCACGCCCAGATCCGCTCGGTGAAGCAGCACAGATCCACGGGGCCGAGCGGGTATGAGCGTGAGGAGGAGGAGGAGGTGGTGTAAAAGGAGCGACGGCACAAAGCAGATTTGAGAGGAATAATTTAACTCCTGTGTTTGTTGTTTTTCAGGGGTTTGCTTTTTCCCTTCTCTCTGTCTCCTTTCTACCTTTTTTTCTGCTCAGGATTTAAATGTCACTCAAAGCATCCCCAGATCAGCTTTCCGCTCGTCTCCGGTTTCTTCCGAGGCATTAATTGGATCACACACTGCATTTGAAGAGCTTGGGTGTTTTACCCACTAAGGTAAGTGGGCTTATGCACCTACATGGGGTGTGGATGGCCACTGAAAGCCTTTCAGGGTGGCGTTTTTCTTCCCCTTGCCCCCCCCTCCCCCAGCTCCGTGGCCAGGTTTCGTTCTACCTGAAGAGCTCGCATCCGTAGGTTAAACATCGGTCGATGTATGGAAAATGCGCCGGGGGGGAGCGGGGTCTCGGGGGCTCCGCGCCCGCCCCTCAGGCACCAGACAGTGACCCGTGGGAGCCGGCGGTCGCGGCCGGCGACCCCCTCAGTTCCCAGTGCCTCTGCTCCTGGAATAGAGCCTGGCACCACAGTAAGGAAAGAAACAGCCTAATCCCCTCTTACAATAAACTATTCGTCATCATTTTTTTTTTCCTCCGTGAGAAATACTGTAGGCGCTCATCTCCCTCCTCCCCCACCACCCGCCTCCGCTGCCAGCGCCGGCTCCTTTGCCCGCACCTCTCCTCGCTTCAGGCGGTTCTTTCCAGGGACTAAAAAGTTAAACTGCCCCTCTCTCCCCCCACCTGCCCCCATACGTACGCAGTGCATTTTCCTTTTTAACTATTCTCCCTGTGCCTAATCCGACTCCGTCCAGCCCCCCCAACGCTCAAACTAGGTTGCAAAGCCGCTGTACCCTGCAACTCCTGAAACTTCTCTTCTTGCTGTGACTTATACTCTATAATAACAAAAACGACAACAAAAATATACTGGATCCTCCTGTGGATTACTTTTTCTTATTTTTTTTTTTTAAATAATGCATTTTTTTCTTCCCCTTTAATTTTTTTTTTCAAGGAAATTTGCTCCATCTCCAGCAGCAACCACTGCTCCTTTTGATGTTGTGGTACGCCGTGCGCATGCGCTTCACATTAGAATTACTGCACTGGCCAGAATAAGTTGGATCTCCTCTTCACTGAAAACCTAAATCATATCAAAAGCTAAAGGGATGCTGAGAGTCCGGAAAAAGGGTTACTTTGGGATTTGGTCATTCCCTTTAATAATAGCTGCGGTGTGTGCACAGAGGTAAGTGATTAAGGTATCTCTTTTTCCTTACTTTGAATTGCAGTGCATGCTGCTGCTGAGAGGAATGCACAGCTGGGGGCTGAGAAATCAGAAATAATACAGTATCATTCTTTCTTTTTTCTTTAGTGTCAATGACCCTAGTAATATGTCACTGGTGAAAGAGACCGTGGATAGACTGCTGAAGGGCTATGATATTCGCTTGAGGCCAGATTTTGGAGGTAATTTGATTGTTTTTGCATAAGAGAGGTTGTATATCCGGGCTGGGTGCGTTTTGTGTGGGGGCGATTGCAAACGATTTGTGGGTGCTGTTGCTTTGGGGAGTGTGTGTGTTGCCATTTCCTATAGCTGATCCAAAGTTAAACCTATCGTTTCTCAATTTTCTTAGCACAGGAATGCGATCACTTAAATTACTTGTATATCAGTAATCGGTCCCTCATTATGTGTGTGTGGGTGTGATGATACTTTACTAACCTGGAATTAAACCCTTGTTTAACTGGTTTTATCGAGATGCAAATCTCTTTTAAGTTCACCCAACGCTTGTTCCTTCCAGCCTAATGTGCCTGTGAACACAGTTACTATTTTCGAGTACAAGATGTGCTGTTAACTGATACAAAAATGTCATTTAACCCCCTCCGTGCTCCTACTTCGAACTAGTTTGTTTATTTCGGACGTGTTCGCTGTGGGTGGCCCTTTCCCCCCCGCACTTGTCCCATCCCTTTCCTGCGGTTCGGTGCCCGCCGTGCCCGGGGCCGGGCGTGCGGCGGGGGCGGCGGGCGCGGGGCCCGCGGAGGGGCGCGGAGCGGGGCTGGCCGGGGCCGGCACGTGTGTGCTGTTACATAAAGCACCGCCACGGCCGTGCCTCGGGCCCGGGCAGCCTCCCGCTGCCACCTCCAGGGTCCCACGGGCGCGGTGGGACCTCGCTGAGGAGGGGTGGGGGGGGGGAAGGGGGGGGGAGCACTTTATGTCTCCCTCCTGACTTTCTGGTTATGTTTAAACGTCGTTTCATGTGTACGCTGTGTTCGCCCTGCTAACTCTGGTAAGAATGAGTTAAGTTCTTAGAGATCACATTGCGGACGATTTTGTTGGTTTGCAGGTCCCCCAGTGGCTGTTGGCATGAACATAGACATTGCCAGTATAGATATGGTCTCGGAAGTCAATATGGTGAGTACTTAGTGTTTGGGGGCTGCTAGCTCTCGCAGAGGGTGGCTGTCGATTCCCCCGCCCCTGCCAAGGCGGAGCGGTGCCCGCGGGCGTGCGGGGACCCGGCGCAGCCTCCCGCCCCGGGGAGGTGCCGAGGCGGGACACCCCGGCTGCTCGGGGGTCGGCGGGGGGTCGGGGG